TCCTCGAGAGCCTGACGAAGCTGATCTTCGGTATATTGAGGCATTATATATAGAAGAAGACATGTGCAAAAGATGAGCCCATTTGGACGCGAATTGAAAATGTTGTGATAAAAGGAGGTTGGGGGTGGGCATTGGGTTGTGGTGGATTTTCGCGTTTTTGTGGGTGCCAGAAACAGGGGGGTGCCAGGAAGTGGGTATGTTGACTTACTTGGACCAAACGCCACAGGACCAGCAGGAACGCTGTGTCATGCGGTAGAGAACCAGCTCACATACGTTGCCAAGATACTTCGCAAATTTGCGACCCAAGGCCTGCGGACCATAGCTCCGACAACAGCTGCAACTCGTGATTTCCGAGCCTACACTGAAGCCTTCTTCCCGCGGACTGTCATGAGCGAGCACTGCAGCTCTTGGTACAATGGTGGGATCAAAGGCGGGAGAATTCATGGCCTCTGGCCCGGCAGTGCTGCTCACGTTGACCTGGTTAGAAAGGATCCGAGGTGGGAGGACTTTGAGTACACCTATCAGAACCCCCAGGAAAACAGGTTTGGGTGGCTGGGGAATGGCTGGACCAAGAAGGATGTTGCGGCTGCTCACGGCGACGCTGGGGTTGAACTAGATCTTACTCCTTGGTTGGAGAAAGGCGCTTTAAGTGGCGATATTGACCTTAGAAGCTACCATGAGAAATGGTGGGTGAGCTAGGAGTTGTTTCATCGTTGCACTGCACCTAAAACTGGGCATCTAGATTTCATTACCATTACGGATACTACTTATGTCTAGCTGCAAGAGCTCAAAGCTCCTGTCTTCTGAAACGCAACTTCGACTGACTGCTCGCCACCCAACTTGATATCAAAACTGGTGTTCCATCCATCAGCATCGACACTTCCACTGGCTGTATAGACGGACCACTGGCCTTGGTCCTCTCCAGTAGCTTGGAAGTTGATCTTCTCAACGTCCAGTCTGGGAACAATCACTCCCTGCCTACGGACCTCATGAACCAAATCCATAGTTAGGCCATCAGCGGCGGCGGGTACACGGTCCTTGCGAACAAGAGCTTTGACCGTGACCGGCAGCTTGCCATCCGCCACATTTCCGATGCAAGATTTAGACTGCTGATACAGGAGGACATCACTCATAGGATATCCGTTGCCAGCATTGTCGTACGTGATAGTCTCGTTGGTTGACGGCTTCGTAACGTGGATGTAGAACTTGCTGATGCCCGTGTCAGGGCTGATTGTGGTGTCAAACTCCCACCAGTGGAAGCTCTCCCTCCACAAGCCAGAGGCACTTCCACCCTGAAAGGTTGCCTTGCGGGTAGTGATAACGTTCGATCCGTTGCCGTTGCGGTCAGCATACGTCAGCTGGACCGAGAGATCATTGGGGTCTCGGCCAGTGACTACGGTGGTGCGGATGCGAATGCGGCCGCCAAACGACAGGCTGCCATCGTCTTTGAGGAAGAGCCCGCTGATGTAGGGCTTAATATCTGTGGCTACGATGGGGTCGCTGAGTTTAACGTTGGCAGGGACGGTATCAATCATGCGACTAAAGATGTCGGCGCAGGTAGTCTGGAAAGCATTAGGGTCGGCCATGGCTTGCATCGTCTTGTTTCCATCTGCAGCAAAGATACGCTTGTCTGAGTTGAGGGTGTCGTTTGTGCCAACAACCAGAGGGTTCTTGGTTGTGCCATCCAAATATTCGGTCACGACGACGTTGTCGAACTTGGCAAATTCAGTGTCAAAGTGGACTACGGTATCGTTGTTGGGGTCCGCCGCGACACCGACGATCTCAGGGAAGTCCATGCTGTGCACGCCTCCCAGAGTATGACCGCACGCCACCATGGCAATCATGTCGCTCTGGGAGAAGCCTGCCTTGGTGAAAGCCAGCTGGGTAGTGTTGAGATCGGTCTGAGGCTCAGGGACACCGGCAGGGCCGGCTTCTTGGGCGTCAATACGGCCGGCACGAAACGGGATTTGGATACCGCCGCACGCAAAGCTGGCGACGAGGACACTCATGGCCAACAGATCAGAAGCAGAGGCGCGAATGGAGTGAAAGCTGCTAAAGAATCCAAACGTGTTGTTGAAGGCGCCTCCAATATTTTCCGGGCGATCCAACTCGAAGAAGATGGACGCGTCTAAACCACCGGTACCGGCGGCAGCATCGTGCGTGGCCATGTCGTGGAAAGCGGCGCGGATCCATTCAGCAGAGTTCTGACGGCCGGGGATGCTTGTGCCGAAGCCACACGTAATGACACCTAATGAGTTGTCAGTAGTTAGTTGAGGGTCGGTGGTAGAGAGACAACTGACCATCGATGAAGCCCCTGCGAAGGTATCCGGACTGCAGAGAGAGGTGATCCTCGAGCTCATCGTACTGAGAAGGCCAAACATACTCTGTCGCGGCGATGGACGCTAGAGCGAGCGTGGAAAGAATGCTCTGCTTCATGATGAGTGCAGGCCGATAATAGCGAATGACTGGGACGAAAGGCAGTTGCGCGACCAAACAGTCAGTTCATCTGACATCGTGCCAGCCCTCATTCGCTTTATGGGTTTCCAGAAAAGCTCTTCCATTTCGGCAATGCGACGTTGGACGGGGCGACCCTTGGACCCTGCAGTGATGGGACGGAGACATTTGGGCGCTTGGAGGGACAAGATCTCGTATTCCTCTTTCCCACCAAGTTATTCCGGTTCTTTCCAATGCCGATAGTGAGGTCCCATCATCCCATCAGTTCCTACCATTGTGGACCATGCCCAGATATGCTTGAAGTTAAGTGCTGGACTAGTTCATTTCCCGAGACTAGGCCTCCCTAGCTTATCCCCAATGCATCGTGGGGAATAGTCTCCTGCCCAATAAGGCAGCTGTAATTACCTAGCACACAGCCTGAAATACGAGCGACGTGGGCGACGATCAGCGCACCGTCGCAGCGTGCTGTTGCTTGTTCGTGTAAAGACGCTGCAGGGGCGGACGCCCTACCAGATCCGGATCACCCGACATGGAACTCGGCCGGTATCATAGTTAGAGGAATCCGAGGTATCATCCGACAAGGCCATCTGAGGAAGCAGTTCTTTCGAGACATGTACCTAGCTGTGCAAAAGCCGAAGGCTGGCAAAATAGGGTAGACAAAGCTGTTGTGGCTGAACGTTTCAACAGTTAGGGGATGTCTTCTGGTGCGGAAGTTACCCACTTTGTCCACACAATTTCAGGGCTATTAATAAGGTTGGCAGAGAACCTAACTTAACTGCTGAACGTCTCCTCAGTGAGCAAAGTCACCTTGGCTCAGGGGTGAAATGTGCTGTGAGACTGTGTAACTTGGCGCTGACCAAGTCGCGTCCAGTGTGAGGGTGACGGAAAAACAGCTGCCCGAAACCTTTCCTCCCGGCTCTGGACTTCTTCCGTTCCAGTGCGTGTCGGGATTATGCCGTCATCGAAGTCAATTAAGGAGCTAACGCTTCGGCGCTTTCGGAGCTTTCATTGAGAGTCCGACATATCTCCCGGTACCTTTATCACCTCTCCTTATATTTCAGCTTAAATACTACGTGTGTAAACATAACGAGTCAACATGGGCGACGCTTCAATCCTTCACATGCCGACGACCCTTATATTTGGGGGCAATGGCAAAACCGCCCGTCAACTGACAGCAATCCTTCGGGACGCCGATACCCCTCACACCATCTTCAGCGTTATCCGCAATCCGGAACAAATTCCAGACTTGGAAGCAATCGGCGCAAAGCCAATTGTCCAAGACATCTCTACAGCTTCCGAGGTCGACTTCATTAAAATCATTGAAGGCACTCGACCCGACGTTGTGGTGTGGGCAGCTGGCGGCAAGGACCCCAAGTCCGCTGAGGCTGTTGACCGGGATGGAGCCATTCGCGCCATGGATGCCCTGGCCAAAGCCAACGTGGTCGCCAAACGCTACATCGTCGTCAGCGCCCTCGACGTCCGCGACCGAGACAGCAAGCCCGTCCCGGACTGGTATACCGATGCCGATGAGAAGCTCAGCGACCGCATGTGGGGTATCATCGGTCCCATTCTCCGGGCTAAGCTAGCGGCCGACACGGAGTTGAGGGTGGGGAATGCGGCTCGCAAGCTTAACTACACCATTGTGAGACCTGGTGGCTTGACTGAGGGACCTAGCACCGGAAAGGCACGGTCAGGAAAGGTTGGCACCGTCGGCATGATTCCCAGAGAAGATGTCGCCAAGGTCGTCTACGCGGCGATTCAGAATGAGAAGACCTACGGGCTGGCATTTGATGTGTTGGGGCCCAAAGAGGACAGCCCAGCGATCAAAGAAGCTGTCTCACAGGTGGCAAAACATCATGAAGATACCTTTGAAGGTTACTATTAGGCAAACATAATCAACAATTACGATTTGTGAATCTATTGCAAAGATCAGACCTAGCCCCATCCCAGGTTCGTAAACCTGAAGCCAGGCTCAACTAGCAGTTGCTTCTTCGGTCGACTTGGCTGTCAATGGCTTTCGACCGTGGATCGCCCATCTATTGAATGTTAGCATTGAGATGGGGAGCATCGAAAATAAATCAGTCTCCTTACATGGTGAAGTAGGCGTGGATGCTTCTGTCGCCTAGATCCTTACGAGCTTCCATAGCAAGTAGCATTACTTCCTCCTTCGTCCAATTGTGGGCGCGAGTTAGAGGCGCCATAATGAACCCTTCCCAATTGACAGCAAGATTCTCATAGGTCCACGCTCCGATTTCTTTGTAGTTCCGGTCTTTCGGCCATGTATTCGTGGGCCACTTATATCTCTCCAAGTGGACATCTTCGAAGCCAACATCAGCCATAATACCAGCCAGTGACTTAATGTCTTCGAAAGGGCGCTCAAAGATGACAGCAGCTTCCTGCCAAAGCCGTAGGCTTTTCATGAGAGCTGAGTCCGCTTTTAATGTGCCGTCATCGGAGTCAGGCTCGACGTCAATTTCGTGGATTTCGAGATATCCACCCGGGTTGAGATGACTGTTACAGAATGTATGTCAGGAATGATGATCTCGCAGTCAAACAAGTTCGCGGCTGGTAGTACCCAAAGCTTTGTTGAAAGTAGGCCTTCCAATCCTTGACGCAGGACGTGATCATGCGGCTGTGGATGTAGTCGAAAGGACGTGAGTATGTCCAAGGCTCCTCAAGGTCGTCGATTTCAAACCTCACATTCGGAGGTACACTGTCATGGACGTCAGCCATCGACCGTAAGACGGGAAGAAACTCACTTACAATTCTGGCTGAGCGGGAGATAAGTCGATACCGAGAACCTGTCACTTCAACGTCAGAATTGGATCTCAAAATTCATAAGTGCGACTGCTCAGCGACTAACCTCGGCCTCTGGATGTTCGTCTCCGAAATCAATCGCCCAAATTCCTGTGCCTGTGCCTACATCCAAAACCCGTCCGACTTTGGACCCAGGCTCATTGGGAGGTGCAGTGCCAAGTCGGTTGCCAAATGTCCGAATGAACAAGTTGTGTTGCAAGTCTAGATTTCGGACCTGAGGTCAGCGTGCACTTCCTATTAACGCACAGAGCGGCCGAGGATACCGCGGAGAAAAGAACCTGGCTGTACATACCAAGTCGATCATTCTCTCTCTCATCATTAGGAACGTAGTATTCTAAAGTATCTAAGTCAGTCTCGTGATGTTTCACGTTCTAGGGGAAACTCACTGCCGTCCTTGTACTTGTGGTAGGTTCTACCGTTCTCTAAGCGGTAGTCGAGAATCGAACTAGACAGACTTGTGCTAGATGAAGCCACACTTTGCTGAAAGGAGGATCATCAATGAGTGAATGGGCCTAGACCATGAAGAGTTTCGGATAGAACACGCACGCCAGTAGCCGAAGAGTCATCATCCGTGACCTTAGAGAAGCCAAATATCAGCATGAACTCTACGCGCTTATTGGCTACAGTGCATCACCTCCTCGGCAGCGATAATATCGCGATCCTCTACGGCAATATTGCCTTGACCCCCGTCTACAGCACGAGGCGGGCTGCTGGCCGCGTTGTCTGTCGCGCACATTGCTGAGAGCAAGGCCAAATGAACACCTTGTTGGAGCGACGATAGAGATGAGTTCGCCAAGTTTCACCTAGATTTAGAGGCGACTTTCGACCGATACTGTTGCCAGATACCAGAATAAAGAGGAACATGAAATTCCGGCAGACCCCCATCCTCTTTATCTGTAGAACTAATTGACCAGGATGTGGTGTTACCCCTCTCCTTGGCTGGAGATAATTATGCATGTTTGCGGCGAACGCCCCAACCAACACAAGGTCGATGGAGGAAACTCCCGAAAGGACAAAATTACGCGTATCACATCCGAGCAGTCATTGGGCAGTGGGTCTATCATTTGTATCTTCCTGGTCCTATTTTGGTCTGCATGACCAACATTCTCCCCAAAGTGCTCGTATCTAGATCTAGAGGAATAATGGTTGACTCCACATGAAAAGGATTACAGTAGAGCTTCCGATATCAAAGCTTTTCGTCGTAGCGGATACTGGAGACTAGTGTGGTTATTATGACCTGTGATATGTCGATTATCGATGTCGAGTACCCGAGCAATTAACTATCAAGAATTGGGATCCAGAGGCAAGATCAAAAGTCATTATTCCTCTCCTCTAGCTAGAAGATCGTGGGAATTCAGTGCAAGCCCTGAGGATTATGGACTTTAATCACTGCTACCCTGTATTAGATCCTGTCTTCCCTTCCTCCTTCATGGCCACATAATTGTATACTCCTTCACAATTCAAAGTCAGCTCATTTCTCAATAGAGCTTTGCTGAATCAATTGGTTGTAACTTCCTCCGCAGCAGGTTTTCTGCCGTACACAGACCAGCTGATTCGAGAATTAGTCAAATCACTCAGCAGCAGTAGAGTTACTCACATCGTCTGATACGAGTGAACACGTGGGTCCTTCATCTCGTTGCGGACTTCCGTTGCAAAGAGAGTGACCTCGTCTTTAGTCCACTTGTGGGCTCTCGTTAAAGCACCTAGCATGAAACCTTCAAGCCCAGCAACGGAGTTATCGAGGTTCCAATAACCAAGCTCTTTGTGTTTCCTGTCCCGAGGCCACGGGTTGGAAGGCCACTTGAATACCTTCACGTTAATGTCTACAAACCCGGCGTCGGCCATGAGGTCCTTCAGAGTTGCGTTGCCCTGGAATGCATGCCCAAACATGACCGCCGCTTCGCCCCATAGCTTCGAGAACCTATTTAGGGCGGCATCGTCGGCAAGTGTACCATCATCTGACTTACAGTACAGGTCGACCTCATTGAGCTCAAGATATCCGTTAGGGTTCAGGTTGCTTCGGTGGTGGCATGATCAGCGTAAATTCAGTTGGTCGAGCTATGCTTGTAACTTACTCGAAACATTTCTGGATATACTCCTGCCAATTACCAATGCTTGATGTCATTAAGCGACTGTGAATGTAATCGAAAGGTTGCGAGAAAGTCCACGGCTCCTCGATATCGTCAATCTCGAATGTCGCGTTGGGAGGAACGCTATAGAATTGTCAACAACGCTGGTTTCAGGATAGAACCGGGTGGAGCTTACAATGTTGATTGAATGGGTGAAAGGTCAACACCAAGGACCTTAATAGAAATAGGTTAGTATTTGAAATATTTGTTCAGCAATTTTTCTAATTACCTCTGACTCTGGATGTTCATCTGCAAAGTCCAATGCCCAAATACCGGTCCCTGTACCAACATCAAGTACCCGACCGACCTTGATACTGGTGTCTTTCGCGTTCACTGGGGCACGTCCCAATTGGTTATCGAAGGTGAGGATGAACATATTATGTTGAATATCTGTTAGACTATTAATGATTGTGAGTTGAAAATTCGTAAGCAAGATAGACATCCATACCCAATCGTTCGTTTTCCCTGTCATCGTTGGGCATGAGATATTCTTGTCTACACTTAGCTTTTGCTCATTCAGAATGAGGAGAGACAACCTACTGCCATCTTTATAGCCATGGTATGTTCGCCCATTCTCTGTCCGATACTGGAGAACGGAGCTGGTCACACTGGTGCTTGATGATGCGACGCTCTAGATTTTGAAGTTCTTAGTAGAATGGCTCGTGGTTTTCCACCCTTCGGTTGATAGAGGGAAGAAGGAAGGAACTAGCACTTACCTCGCCTCTGACAGAAAGGTCATCTCCGCTGAGCTTTTCAATGGACAAGTTCGTTAGGCAATGAAATCCAGTCAAAGGTGGTAAATAGTGTTGTTACCTCTTCAGCGTCTAGTGCTGGCGTGATTTGCGTTGTGACATTGTTTGCGTTGTGAGGTGAAGTGCCTCGGGACGCAGCCGATTTTGGGCTTTGCCCAGCGTTGCGTGTTTGGTCAATGTCGGACATGGTACACGACAACTAAAGGTTCAGTAAAATGACAAGTTTCTCCTCAGTTCGTCTAGGCGAAGTTGGGAGATGCGTAATTATGTACGGCTGCGTTTCCGCCTTCTTCAAGCTTTTGCATCAGATTGAACGCAGTGACCGGTCTCTGTTGGTTCTATCACTTGCAAACCCATCGTTGGATGGTAGGCTACCCCACACCTGCGATGTGATACTCACGCACGTCTGCGGCGACCATGCCGGAGATGGCGGTTGTACTTCCTGATGAAGAAAACTACCAGGACTCTTTCATTCCGGTTACATCTCGCGTGCAAACCTATTATATTGGAGCGGAAAGTGGGCAAATGATGCCTAGGCATGTGCCTCGTGTGGATTAGGCGGGCCAATACTGCTAAGTGGCACCCTGCGGCCCTTTCCATATGGGGCACGTAAATGCCCCGTAAGTAGAACGCATAACCGCTTACTATGAGAGCGTCTGGGTGCAAGGAGAGACTTCACACGCCTTGATATAGATAAATAAGAAGAATCGCTGATCCATCCTCACAACAATGAGAAACAATAAGGGCCTATGGTTCCCATGTCGAGAAGCGTTCTAGCCCCCACGCACTTTTCTGTCCATACATTTCAGAAACATCTCAAGAACCCCGTCTTTCGATGAATGACAAACATAATACCCTTCCATATATTCTTTGAACCGGTATGGAACAACCTGAATGTACTTCTTCATGTCCCAACTAGGCTGAGCAACCAATTATCTATAGCAACTCAACGCGTGTATCAGTGAAGTGACTTCTCGACCCTGCATCTCGGCGAAGTCAAGTCGCAACGTAAGGATCCACAGCTAGATCATGACTTACGTGGACTGAACGACCCTCTTGGGGAATATTGTGTTGCCATGATATCGGATATTCAACATCTGAGGCCAAGACTTTTCCCTGACTCAATGATCCGGGGTCGCTGCCTCCGGCTTTCTTGCGTAGATCGACCAACTAGATCTCGTCAGTAGTCCGGCGTCAGCCGGGCTTGGTCATGTAAGCTTACATGGAAGAGTAGGAATGAACATTCGGGTTGTTAATTGCCTTCCGCACTTCCATACACAGCACTGTCACCTCTTGGGGTGTCCAGTTGTGTGCTCTTGTGAAGGGTGCCATGACAAAGCCTTCCAGACCAGCCGCAAAATTGTCGTAATTTCAGTACCCTATCTCACAATGTTTCTTATCTTTTGGCCAAGGATTACTTAGCCATTTGAATCTTTGAATGTGGACGTCTTTGAATCCTACTTCGACCAGAACATCTTTCAAACCTTTGATGTCTTGGAAAGGTCTCCCCAAAGTTGCGGCAGCTTCTCCCCACAGGCGAACGACCTTATAGAGAACAGATTTTGGCTTGAGGGTGTCGTCATCACAGCCGGGATTGGGATTGATCTCATTAAGTTCCACGGTCTTGGGTTCCTGCTGACATGTTTGAAAACGAGTTTGTAGCCTGTATTACAGATCATATGCTTGGCAAAGAATGAGAGACATTGAAGCAACCACGATACTACAGATCTAATCGCAATGATTTATCAGAATTTTGTGAATGCTTTGACTCATGTTACCCCTCTCCTCGGCCGGGGACAATCATGCATGTTGGTTCCGGCCGCATCTCCTAATGCGATTTTTGTGGGTTCCCCGCATAGGAAGATTATCATTTCCGGAGGTCCTATCGGATTGAAGTGGAAAGACAGCCGGTGAACCCCTGATAAATATCAGGTGCATATCGTGTCATGCCGCGGCTGGTAATTGTCCTTTGTTAGTTTGGTTCAAGGGCAAAACCCCTTCTCTGTTGGGAAGGAAATTCTCTCGACTTAGGCACTTCAATTGTCACAACATACTTTTTTCAAAATGAGGTGGATCATCCCGAAGGATTTTCTGCACTCCCAAGTCCAAACATTGCGGCTCGCGAGGCATAACGTCAATCTAATAAGGCCAGGACTTATGCCTCGACGGCTACCTACAGGGTACGTGACCCGAGCAAAGGGCACAACTCTCCATCCATCACTACACTGGGGGATTCTTGCCCTGCTCCCACAAGCTTGTTCCAGATTCTCAGATTCTCCCATGAACATACTGTTGCGAAGTATTCCCCTGGCACCTAGTTGTAGCTCACATGAACATGGTCCCTGTCAAATTGATGAGCACGGATTTCTGGGTCTTCCTTCAGCACCTAAACTCACCAGTGATTCGCGGTAAAGTCACCGCGATCATCCATACTTCGCCAACTGGACCAAGACTTGACCGAGTCTTGAGAAGGATTCCAGATCTTCTGACCCCAAATAACGTACTTGAGATCGAGCGTCTCACGGTTGTTCATAACCCACTCAGCAATCTCCTTGCCAGAGATAGTGGGGACCTGCAGAGGTATTAGTCGCGACGTTGAGGCAAATAATCAACGCGAGCTTGACTCACACCACCAGCATCAGAGCACATCATGTCTGTCGCTTTGCCGCAGCAGTGATCCGAGTCGCCAGGGCATGTGCAGTCGCGAGTGCAGTAGATTTGCCTGACCCTCCCGGGAAATGCTGCGACAATCTTCTTTGCGCCGCTGACTGCAACCTGCTTACAGGCACCGACAGATGGAACAGTTGGGTCGCCGTAGACACCGAATCCGGTAGCAGTGGAGGAGCAGCATTTGAAGCCACTTGGTCCTGGACACTGATTGGAAGCAGATGTTCCTGCACAGTCGCTTGTCCAACGACAATTGCCCCCACTTCCGCAGGAAGCTTTGGTGCAGCACTTGATGTTGGAAGCATCGGCCGGACAAGCGCCGTCAATCGTTGTACCTCCGTTCGAAGAGCACGAACTTGTAGTTACGCAGACACCTGAGAGAAATATCAGTCAAAAGTCTTTCATCCAGGCAAAGGTGAAGTCATCATACCAGCTCTACCACCAGAGCCATAGCAGGGCTCATTGAGCGCCGCCAGTGCGACCTGCACTGAGATGGAGGAGACGAAGAGAGATTGGTATCTCATGATGAATTTTGAAAGAATCGACTCTGGGAGACTATGCTCTAGAAATGTTTTGTTGTGTTGCTGATTCTATCATGGCTGTCACAGACCGTGAAGCCCTGGGTTATATACTTCGATGTTGATACTTTCTTGCTTCTTACAGCAGCTTTTTCCCTTCAGTTTGCCCGAGCTTATGCGACACAGGACATCAGCAAGGCAGCCGTAGCTGAAGGTACGTGCACGCCATTGCAGCATCCCGAGCTGACCATGAAGCTTGGCACTCGTCACTGAGCCTTACATCTGATGGATTGAAAGCCGATATAACGCTCGTCTCATCGAGATGTGTCCATTTTTGGAACTACCTCTGACCTGTTTGGTGGCGTCTAGTCCGGGGTTCGCCTCAGCCATCATTGATTAGTTCCAAATGATTAGCCATTCGCACTGTTGGTTCCCTGCAGGGATGCAGCGGGATGGCCCTATAGAGCTACCTTAGCGGCCGAAACTAAGATCTCACTAGCCTATGATAATGGGGCAGAAACGAACATGGGACCAAACATTACCCATGGTGCTAGGTGGAGGTCGATATGAAGGGCAAAGGCAGGATCTTGGACGTAAAGATAGGCTGATCTTCATCAGGCCACACTCATCATAGTCAGCACGAATCTTGCTCCCCGGCGTCGATGGCCAACTTGAGGAACAGAACTCGGTTGAGTCTGCGAAAATATCATGAGGGCTGATTTGGTTCTTACTTTCCTTGGACTCCGTCTTTGCTGGCACTTCCAGTCTATCCAGACCCCATAGCGCAAAGTACGCACATAAGAAACAAGTCTTGCAATCGATTGAAGATCCTGCAGATCTCGAGCCCTATGGAATGGCGTCATCTGTCACTTAGCTGGGGAAGCGAACTTGGCATTGTGAGACACTTTTATAAGACACTTTTTAAGCTGGTCCCTTGATTCGTCTTGGACCCTGTCGTGCCTGTCCCGGCACTCCTTGAAAGAAGCTACTCTAGCTGGTCAGACGGGGAGACAGATTCCCCGCTTCGTGGCGTCTATGTACCAATGTGCCATGCTGCCATGCCTTATTGAAATCTTCAGCTGGACACATGAAAAGCTTGATTATGACGTAGAACGAAGTCATCTGCAACCCTTCTAGAGACGGTGTGGAAGATGAAGACTTGGGTTTGTCTTAGCTTTACGGGAGTCGACACCTTCACTGTTTCATACCTCGCAGCTTAGAAGATGTTGTATGAGGATCCAAGGCTATCACACTGTTAGTATCCCTTTCGCAGGGGCTGTGTTAGAAGAGTTTGCAACGGAGCAAAGCGTCTTGAGGTCGGTATCGAGATCAAACATCTAGTCACTTGGACGCGGTGGTAACACTGGATTTGGTCATCTAGGTGCGCGTGTTTGGTTCGTGCCCACTTTTCATCACGGGAGGGAAGCAACGTCCAATGATGGAAAGAGAGAAACTATTTCTACAATGTTATTTCTGAAAGGTAGTATCGACGGGTATTGAAGTGCATCGCTATATATCCCATTGCATAGGCATGCCACAACTCATCATAAGGACGACTATCCCTCAAGATTGCTTCGGTTCGGCTGTAAGCAAGCGCACTTTCCGAAATCGCTGATTCTAGTACTTCGAGAGGACTACGACCGGAACTGAGTGCGCTCTTGTGTATGTAATTTCTGATCTCTCCGGCCTTCTCCTCCTTATAGAACCTGTGTTTCTCGAGTTAGCATTTGCTGCAGTGCGACTTGACAACATCACGTACGATAATATGTCGTTCGTTAAGTTGATAAACTTCCCCATCTCTGGCGCCGCCGGCATGAAGCGCGATATGTCAGGGCACATGTCTCTGTAGAAGCAAAAGTATGTGTAAACTTCAGGAAGACCCTCCTTTTCCCGGAAATAGTAGGGCCAGCTGGGAGCCTCCATCGAAGGGACAATGGTCTGATAGTCTCGGCGAATCTCGATGGCGTTGGAGTTGACAAAAGCTAGCGCGGACAGTACGATCAGATTAGCAACAACGGGATCATAGTAGTCTATTGTCGACCTCAGGACGTCGGCAAAGCACTCTAGGACGTTGCAGGGCTGCGGATCTCCTCGTGAGAATCGTGACTGGAAGTTTGCCAAGTTTGGGCCTAGCTCGGCGTTGAGGTCATCAATGATGAATCCAAGCCAGGTGAAGAAGCCGATGTGAACCTGAATATCGAAAGGGTGAAGGGGGTACATCTCCTGCGCAGAACATTAGCTTGATTACCTTATGTTCCTTAGTTAGGTAGCGAAAATTTGTGACGTGTAATTAACATACCGCAGCTACAGCCAAGCCGGCCTCGAATCTCATCATCGAGCCATCGTCCCGACTGACGTGTACGCCCGCCTTGCGACCTCTCGAGAGAACGGCCTCTCGGAGGACGTCTTTACTCTGCTTCGCAGGTTGGGTGTAATTGATGCACTTGAGAAACGTCGGGATGAGACATGAGAGATGGTGCCGGAGCCCCTCCATGGCCGGCGTCACTGTCAATGATTCTGTCATATCAACGTTTACCACTTCAACAGTGCTTGTCAACTCTCTCCAAAAGGAACTCGAGCGGCAAACGCTGTCTTTAATCTCCATAGGTCCCCACATCGAAGACCATTCCGTGTAAGAGGCTACATGTAGAAAGACCGTACTACGAGACTGAGCTGAGATGCTAATCCGAACTGTCCGCAAGGTATCGAAACAAAAACGCAGCCCGCGGACTTAACCTAAAGGTGCAATTAAGTAGAGTTTCCGCGTCACCATTCGACAACCAGGCGGTGAGTAAATGAGTCATGGAAAGAGTGAGAATGGGACTCGGGAGTTCGGTGTCGTTTTGGGCCAGTTTCCATAAGTTGCATCTTGTCACACCGCACTACCCCTAGGCTGCACTTTGGAGAGTCCGGGCAGGGCTTCAACTGCTACTACTGGAGTTGTGGAAGTCTGATTGTACATAGGTTGCATTGGAGAGACGCGGAGGATTTCATGCTCGATATTCTCCTCCAAACAATGGATATGTTTGCCAGGTTCTGAACATATTGTCTCTATCCCATAGCTTCCAATCAATGTCTTCAGGAAGCTATGCACGATTCAGTTCTAACATCGACGGAGTAGTGCAGGTCGTACCGGCACTTGAACCCGAAGTGGAGACTAATAAACTCTAAATATATGAATACAAGATGCGAAAGAATAGGACGAATCGTTGGACCCTTGACTTAGCGGAATACCCAGAGAACGGCTCACTAGCGGTAGCAGGGCTTCAGTTGAAGTCGATGGGCGAATTTCGATATATTAAGCAATCTTCGACGATGAAGTCACTGTGTATGAGACTAGTCTGTCACTCTTCAGTTCTTCTATTCAGCTTGTCAACCTCATAGCCGATCTTGTCTCGTATCCCATTATTCTGTCTCTTTCTGGACAAACAACCTCTTCAACATGTCGACCACAACCATTACTGCTACTCAGCAGGCGGATCGGAGCAGATTCAACTTCCAGCATCGATGGTTTGACAGGACGATCGAGCACTGGGAACAGCGCACCGGCTCTATCCGCAGTAAAAAGTTGAGGATTTTGGAAGTTGGCTCCTTCGAGGGCGGTTCCGCGACGTGGATCCTCGACAACCTCATGGATCACCCGGAGTCGACATTTATCGCCGTGGATACCTTCGGTGGAAGCATGGAGTTTCAGAATGACACATACAAAGAATTTGAGGCTTACGACATTCCCTCTTTGGAGAAGCGCTTCCGATCCAACGTCGCGAAATGCCGCCACGTCGACAAGCTTACCGTTATCAAACGGTCCAGCCTTGATGCTCTCCCGACACTGAAGCACCAAGGTGCTCGTTTTGACTTCATCTACATCGACGGATCTCATGTCGCTCTTGATGTCTTGCACGACGCTGTTCTCGCCTGGGGCATGCTCGAGGTTGGAGGCACCATTGTATTCGACGACTATACCTTGAACAGGTACAACGAGGAAAGCTACAACCCGCCTGCCGCAGTCGATTCTCTCATTCGATGCGCAGCTTTTGAAGCGCATGCCACCCAGGCAGGATCGCAGATGTGGGTCAACAAGGTGCCCCAGCTTTTCCCGCCCACTCTTAACCCGGAGAGGGAGTTGATTGTTGAGGACGACTGAGCGTCAACTTGAGAGAGATTCGGATGGAATCGAAGTAGAGTAGAAATACAGGGTCCCTCGTTAGTGGGGCTGAGATCGTTGAACCAATTCAAATGAAATGATACATTCGCATCATGCTGGGTAGAGCCAAGTAGAAAACATTGTAATACAATCCAAGAACCTCACAATGAATCCTGTCGTACGTTAGTTGCTACTCCGTTGTTACCATTAGTGGCCAAACCAATGGCTGTCCGGGGACTAATTCCAGGAGTCTCGCACTTGATGCCTTTCAGCAGCGTGAACACTTGATTGATCCTTGTTACCTGCTTCAGATGTTTCCGGTCGTTTGTGGCTAGGGATTTATTTTCATGCTCCAAAGGCCTGAATAAAGTACTGGCCGGCATGGCTTTTGTGCATCGACTTGACAAGTTCGACTCAGTTAACTCTTGCAGCGGCCCACAAATATGGATAATTGAAAACTAAACTTCAAGTGAATATTATCGTGTACATGGGTGATGACTCCCGACATTTCACTCAGGACCGAATGCGTTGTGAATGAGGAGCCCCTGGTTCTCCTTAGCCGACAACCATTGAGCCATTGCCTCTATTTCCCTGGCAAAAGAGGTCATACCGTCTCCAGAACTCCACTCAAGTCCAGCTCCCCTGAGATGCAAGAACACGGTGGTCATAGCACTCTCGTCTGCTGATCCACAGCCGCGACTACTAGAGCCCGCAGAAACCACGAGTCCGACTCGTGGTTTTTGCACCGACTTCAACATGTCCATATTTTCGAAATGTGAGAGCCTTGCATCATCCGTGGAAGACCGCGACAGGGGCGCGCTCTCACCGAGTCCAGGGGCCCAGTTAAACATAAGTGAGCCGTGGACCAGAGGCAGTAGCGGCCAAGGCCTCTTCTCGGAGTTCGGGTCTTCGAGCTTGTCCATGATAGCTCGCCAAGGTGCGGACGCGTGTCTGGTCTGAAGTTCCTGCTCTCGCTGCATTTTACGCAGGAATTCGGAGACTGTTTCCGGCTCGTTGCCACATCTCGGTATCTCCACCACGTTACAAACTATTTGCACTGTAGGGCCTGCCACGTCGCCGGCCTCCCACCGCAGAGACCTGCCGTGCTCCTTGCCGCGGCGTGGCATATCGGTGTCCGTGACGGACTTGGGAAGAAAGGGGTTATAGTGTAATCTCGCGGCTTCGACACTGGAGAATACGGCTACCCTGAATTTGCGCCCTGTTGCGGCTTTCGTCGTTGTATAGCCACTTCGACTCGCGCTTGCCAACGCCAATGCGGCCTTGACGATGGTGGATGTGGATACGGTCATAGAACTTGGGGGATTTGATCTAAGGGCTGACATCGTAAAGCTGTGCTGCACTTGATGGCTTTCTCGATAATGATCATCCAGTGAGACTTGCATCCAAGATGTCGGACTTGGCCACAATGCCCCAGCATCAACATGTTTGGGCAGAGAGGCAAGACGATCGACATGCCAATTCACAGCCGCCGTAGCCCGCGGAGAGCTGCGCAAAGCGTGACCTAAATCTAAATAGGGCTGGTAGTCCTTGTACTCTCGTAGTTGTGCTTGGATGCCGGCGGCAGTCAAACCGCCTGAAGCAGCCATCGACACGGATCGGTCGAGGTCGTCGTAGAATAACTGCCCTGCGGAATGATCACTGATGGAGTGATTGGCGGATGTCACCATCGCCGCAGTGCCGGTTTCTTCTACGTCGAAGAGCATGACTCGATAAAGCGGCCCAGGGAACGTGTTCTGTTGCGGTGCTGGAAATCGATGGGCCTCAGCAGTATTTCCGAGCGCGATATCCTCAAGATCTTTCAAGCAGCGTACGACACCGCCGTCTTGGATGGCCAAGTCGAGGTACTTTGCCGAAGGGCGCATGATGACGTGGAATGCGTCCTTTGTCTTAGGATTAACACCGCGCCAGTCCGCAGACCAGACCATGAACGAGCACATGATGGGTTGATTGAGCAACGCCGCTTCTACGGCAATGCGAAGTTCCTAAGTGACAAACGTTCTATCAGTGTCCTGAAAACTATGTGTAAGAAATAGATTGTGACTACGTACCTTTTTAGTGGTCTTTATCTTGGTACTGATGGCCATGTTGAAGTTGATGGTATCATAGAAACCACACTGAGCCTGCACGGCATTTGAGTCATACACAGGACAGATGTTCTCAACATCTTCCCACCCAAAACCGCATGGCGAAATGGATTCCAGAACCCGATTTTTAATCCATTCGTAAAGTGTCGCTTCGGGTGCGATATCCACCAAGTCTTCTACTGAAATAGGTCTTCGTGTTGCAATTCTGTCATTGGCGGCCGCCATCTTTCTATCCTGTTTGCTGAGATGCGCTACACTGGTGTCTGTGATCGTTGACTTTGTTTTATCGTCGGCTGACAGGCTGCGCAAAAGTTCAATCTGCTCCGCAACAGTCGATGCTTGAGCCATGGCTGCCAATGGTAGCGCTATACCCGTTTGCTTTCTGATTTTGTCGCGGATGCGCATCATACTGATGCTGTCGATGTACTGCCCTAGGGGCATATTAACGTTCAGCTGGGATGTATGCCCTAGCCCGATTGCCGTCGCCCAGATGACTTTGACTTGCTCTTCGTGATGCTTTCCAAGCCCGGACAATGTACTGTATGCCCCTGAAGTAGCCTGCCTGTCCAGATGGACTGCTACAGCCTGCTTCAGCTTGAACTTCTGGATCTTACCCGAGGTCGTTCGCGGAAAGTCTGTTAGGTCAAGATCCTTGAGATTGATAACCAGATCCGGGACATGCATCATGGTCATATTCTGCAGCACTGTTTCTCGAACTGCCCTTTCGACCGTAGCAGCCTGTCGATCACCTTTGATCACCACAGCGGGAACCTCTCCGGCGATGGTGTCCTTAATGCCGACACTGGAGAACGTCTTGCGTCAGCGCTTTCTGTCACTGTGACAACCAAGTAGGACTGAATTAGAAATGCCTGGAAGTTAATAACTTACACTTGTGGAATTAGAGGGCGGAGGACAGAGTTCTTCATGAGAACGGCCTCAATGGCGGCGGGGGAAATGTTTTCACCACCACGAATAATCCTGCGAAGCAACTGTTAGTCGAAACAAGACAGGCGAGGTGTGCAACGCCAATATAGTAGCACATACATGTCCTTGTAACGTCCGGTGATGAAGAGATCTCCGTTCTCGTCCATTTTTCCCATGTCTCCAGTCTGAAACCACACTCTGCTTGTCTCATTTTCAGTGTAAAATGCCTTCTGTTCTTTACACTGGATGTATCCAGACTGTCCTTCACGGTCTATCATAGGACCATATCCATGGATCTCTCCTGTGACATTTCGTGGGACGACACAGCCTGTGACAGGATCTACGATTTTGATACCGTGACCCATCGGTGGCTTTCCCACAGACATCTCTTCCGAACCGGACAAAGAAGTGTCGCGACCTGTGTTAGGAACGCTCACACTGCCAGTGCTGGTGAGTGCGCCTTCGGTGCAACCATAGGCGTTTTCGACAACTTTAGCTCCGAGAACAGTGGTTGTCGCAAGCACCTCCTGCCTGGTCAAAATCGTCCCGCCAAAGGTCACACTGATGAGTGATTCCAGTGGAGGCTGGTCCTTTCCCATGGCGGCAATCAAAGCGTGGATCAGAGTCGGAACCAACAGTGTGTGCGTGATCCGCTCTTGGCGAAAGGTGGATAGAAGTGCTTCCGGAGTCGAAAATGCCGGTCCGGGGAAGACCAGGGCGGCGCCACGGCCGTGTGCGGTTTGAATACAAGTCCAGCCGTTTCCATGATTATTAGGGAGAATACTGCATACTCTCGAACCAACTTGTGGGAGAATATGAGACGGTGAAAGTAGTAGTCGGCTGTTCGTGTAAGTATTCAAGACCGTATGGCGGCAGAATAAGCCCTTTGGCGTGCTTGTTGAACCGCTGGTGCTACTAAAAAATTAGCATCAGCCAGATCTTGAAGCAGTCGGTAAAATTGGGTTAACATACAAGAGAACAATGCCAGCCTGTGCAGGATCCCTGATCTCAAGGCTAAGAGTTGAGTTCGAGCGGAACAAGTCATCTCTGTCAGTGCCGTCGACCGGTCTCATCAAATCATCAAGGCGAAGCCAGCCTTCTCTTGTCTCGGACCCCGAAGCCAATATCTTAACAACGTGGGGCCCAAGAATGCTGTTGTCAACATCCAGCTTGTCAATATCTCTGGCCACATCCGAGTTGGCAGCATAGATCAACCTCGGGCCACTGCTATCGGGGGCAAGACTCAAAGCAGTTCTGAGCATGTGAGCTGTCTCATCGCGATTCTTGAGTGCCAGGGGATTTAAAGGAGTCAAGGTGCAACCTGTTGCGACAGAAGCCCAAGCCGCAAGTACAAAGTCGGCACCATTTTGAAGAAATGTTACCACCGAAGTTCCAGGACCGAGTTCTTTCAGCAGACCAGCATCTGCAACTATAGAATACTTGGTCACCACGAGCTTGTGGATAGCTTGAGCGAGAATTTGAAAAGTCCAGCGAAGATACTGCGGGGATTCATTCTCGGAACTTGTGCCTTCAGAGCCAGACGGGCCAACACTGGAAAAGCCAAACAGATCATGAGGCTGATGAGAACACACCAAGGCCAATTCGTTTGGGTGACTGTCTATAGCCGAAAGTAAGCCATCCCAGGCGTCAGGAACTCCCGAAAGATCGAGAGGCGGACCGTCGGCTACGCTGAGATCAACTGAGGCTGACACTGGGGCAACCATGTTCAGTTTGCTGAAGTTCGGAAGTTATGCAAGTTGTTTTGTAATTTTGAAAAGTGAGTTCGCTGAGAGATTGAGGGATAATACTTACCACACCTGTTGCAAAACGTGAACTTTATGGCACAAGTGGCATGGGTGGCGTCGGTGACACCGGAGACACCGGTATATTCAGATTCCTTAGGATCAGTCCTCGTCCCATACGAGTGTCTCGCTCACCGCTCTATTCGTATCAGCAAGGCATGGAGTTCTTTGTATGATGAGTTGATTGGCCATGAGCACATACGAATAAATTGATTCTCGTTCACTGAGTCCTGACTCGACACTTTTCTGTCCCTGGTTCGTGATTCCGAACCCACAGTTGCCAGGAAGGCAAATCCCACACAGTAGAAACTTAAATTCGGTAATTGTGATATTTTATGGCATCGAAAGCACCCCTCCTTCTGCCCTGGATTACGAAAGTCAAAGATGGAAGCGCTTGCGACAATCCACATGGCCTGACATAGATCTCGGTCTAGCGTCATAGAGAGCGTGCCATTTCATCCACTCTGTCTGCCCCATTTCCTACTGTAAGGCATTAGCGAGATCACCCAAGTATTTTCCCAAAGTGAACCATTCAAATGGCGCCAAATCTCCCAGTGCCAATATTTCCCGTCCACTCCCTGCATACGCCAGAATAGGTGCTTTCCGGGCCATTCGCAGCAGCCCGTAGGAGATCTTAAATCGGGCGCTTTCTTCCAAAGAATGCATTGGCTTCCAGGATCTGGCATTTACGCTTGATTATCTTCAGGCAAATCCTGCAATCTACGTGCACGTTTTTCACCCAGCAAGATCTCAGAAAAGGCCTAACCGCCTTTCACACAACCGCATCTGTTTTGATTCCCTTTGACATTCCCAATTCTGGTCAAATCAATCTTTAAACATGACTTCTTCCACATCTCAAATAGCACATTTCTCATCTTTGGTATTCACTAGCCGATTGTTCTATGTTGCAATCGTATCATACTTCCTCATTGCCATTGTGAGGTCATGGAGTCGCTTATGGCATTTACCTGGCCCCTTCCCATGTTCTTTCTCATACTGGCCAATGTTCAGAATTCGGTGTCACGGAACTCGCGCGTATGCTGAATACGCCAGACTCACGGCGCAGTACGGCAAGCTCGTTCGTATAGGACCTAACGACGTAATCACGTCCGATCCGGAACTTATTAGGCGCATGTCAGCAGCGAAGTCAACTTATGAGCGCAGCAGCTGGTACAAGGCGACTCGGTTAGATCCATACCACGACATGATGGGTAGCGTGCTTAATAAGTCGGCCCATCACTCTTTGAGGACGAAGCTATCTCCAGGATACGTGGGAAAGGACATCCCAGGACTAGAGGCCAGTATTGACTCCGGTATCGCGGATCTTGTCAACTTGATCCGTCTTAAGTACACGTCGAGGTCAAAGATCGCCAACATTTCTGAAATAAGTGGAAAGAACCGGGCTTCTCAATCCTCAGATTCGGAAACCGTCGATTTCGGCCGCCTTGCAGACTACTACGCCATGGACGCTCGGTCAAGGATGTCTTTTGGGCGGCCTATCGGACTTTTGGAGAAGGATACGGACGTCTTTAGCCTTGTCAGAACATCGAATATTGCTATAGATGTGCTGCAATTCTTCACGGATATTCCCGCGCTACAGATGATCTTCACGTCGGATCTCGTGCTTAGATTCTTGGGACCAAAGCCGACGGATTCGAGTGGTTTCGGAAAGATCATGGGGTAAGTCGATAGGGTTTCTGTGAACTCGATCTTTCAATTACAAGGCACAGCCTGTGACTTGGGAAATCATCGTTATGTTGACCGGTGTGGCCTGTAGACTCGCCCAGCAGCACGTTGTGAAACGTTTCGCTCCGGATGCAAAGGACGAGCCCGACCTACTTGTGAGCCAAACTGAGAAAACATTGTTAACACCTTTAGATCGTTAATAAGTTGAATAGGGATCTTTCATTCGCCATGGGCTTGACCAACGTTCCGCGCAGTCTGAAATCATGTTTCCCATGGTCGCTGGCTCGGATACAGCCGCAAAGGCCATCAAGTGGACAATGCAATACCTACTAAGCAATCCTTCCACTTTCGAAAGGCTTGAAGAGGAAATTATGACAGCGATTTCAGACGGATCAATCTCTGAGCCCATCACTAACACAGAAGCTCTGAAGCTACCCTTTCTTCAGGTAAGCCCAGGCCGCACATAACGAGTTGATAGAAGCGATAAAGCTCCTCGGCTTCGCGCTAACACTGGTCTGCTCAGGCAGTCATTTTCGAGTCCCTCCGCGTTCATCCGCCGTTCACTGGGTTGCTCATGAAACAGGTCGGGCCTGAAGGCGATATGCACGAGGGCAAATTCTTACCTCCAGGTACAAGAGTCGCACACGACACGTGGTCAGTTACGCATGATAAAGAGCTATTTGGACACGACGCCGACGAGTTCCGGCCCCAGAGATGGCTCGAAGCCGCTGACGCCACGGTTAAAGAATGGAAAAAACGAACCGAGTTGGTTTTCGGTGCTGGCAGGTGGCAGTGTGCGGGCAAAGCGGTGGCCATGATAGAGCTGAACAAGATATTTGTCACAGTGAGTGTCCCAAGCATCGTGGAAAATGAATCGAAGTATAGATAACTAAGATTTTTGATCCTAGCTCATTCGTAACTTCGAGTTCCTGCCGACGACTGCCCCTATGTCGATTGTCATTCGAGTTCGTGAGACGTAGGAGACATAACGATGGGGGCAGAAACCCTATTCTTGGAGATATGAAATGGGAGCACGGCGATATGGGCCGGCAACCAGGTATTGAAGTTAGACGGACTTCAATAGATGCGACAGCTTCTCATAAATCCTCGAAATAAAGAAAAATGCATAAGGTGCCTCAACATGCTGCTCCTTTAGGTCATGAGTGACGCTGCTTCGGACATAGCGCAAGTAAATAAGCGCTCCCCCCCCCCCCCTTACACCGTTACGTCATGAGATACTTCAATGGCTCTTTTAACACTTCTCAGTCTGTGGCATCCTCGAGTACCGGCTTATCTAACTCTACTCTCCAGAATCGGCTGGAAAACGGAAGAATTCACCACATGTACAAGGACGGGAGTGTGTGACCTGACATGGTGACGCAAGGCGATCTTCGCTCTCGAATAAGTGTGGTCTCTCAAGATCCGGTTTTGATGCCGGAAACTGTTCGTTTGATATCGATCCTTTCTGCGTCGTCTCAAATGACAGAGAGATTTCGCAAGTTTTAGAGAAGGTTGGGCACCGAGATATTGTTTCGAGATAGGGGGGAATGAATAAGTATATTGACTCTGCTGTGTGGTCAGCGAGTCAGTAGCAGCTTCCCTGCCTGGCTAGAGCCAAGTTGCGGAAGTCCAAGGTTTTGTTACTGGAAGAGGCAATGAGCAAGTAAGTTGTGTTCTTTTGCAGATGGGTTTTTGTTTTCAAAAAAAAAAAAAAAAAAAAAAAAACGGTCGGGCCTGGCTAACATGTTGCAGCGTTGATGCTGCGACTCATTCTAGGATGCAGAATGCAACAGACACTGAGTTCGCTTGGCAGTGTTGGTGGTGATGAATCGACTTGGGCATGTGGGTCTTTACGACACAGTCGCTTTACTCGGAGAGGGAAAGGTTCTGGACTTTGGTGCACCACATTCGGAGATAACCGACTTTTCTGGACTGTATGGGCAGGGTAGCAACTTATTTGAGCGGTGTAAGAGAGAATTACCTTTGAATCAATTTACCCACGTTCAACAAATTAAAGAAAGGCGCTGGCGGAATTCCCTGCAGAGAAACAGCAAGTGCGAGCCCCTGTTCTGGTGGGGCATTGGTTATAATTAGCAGCAACCTTATCCTTATCAGATGGAGTCTGTGCTCGAAAAAGACGTATCTTGCCCCACTATGGCGCAGCAACTGCATCACGTGCCTCTGACCTGGCATTGGTAATTGTCTCTTTTGGTTGGTTCCTGCGTCCCCGTTGCTCCTGCACCAATCAATCGTGGTCCAATTCACTGCCCCTGCCCCGCCCCCGCCCCCGCAGTACTCAGCTCACCGCACCGCAAGGACGACGGTTGACGGACGGCACGGCACCTCGCCTTCACTCCAAAACCTAACTTTACCTCACTCACACTATCCTTAGCTCCAGCTCACGAGCAACGCTCGTTTGCGTTGCAATTCTTAATCAGTCTTCCGACTGATTCCGACTACATTGCTATTCCTAGACCACTTCTATTTCCCTCCCTCTCCATAGTACCCACCATGCCCAAAAACACCCCAGCGCCCGATGAGCCCGTCGTCACTTTCAGCTCGGGCTCCAACGCACCGGTTGCCCTGCGTCTTCTCCACCTCAACGATGTTTACCACTTGGAACCCGCGAGCGCTGAGCCGGTGGGTGGTGTTGCTCGCTTCATCACTGCCGTCAACGAGTACCGAAGCCACGAACGCTACCAGGGCCAGCCCGAGCTAGTGACTCTATTTTCAGGAGATGTCTTCAACCCCAGTCTCGAGAGTTCAGTCACAAAAGGTACAGCGCATCCCCATCACGTCTCACTTGTCTGTCACTTGTACTCATTGCGCCTCAGGTGAGCACATGGTCCCAGTGCTCAACAAGATCGGCGTTGACTGCACTTGCGTTGGTGTAAGTGGGCCTCAAACTTTACTGCTGCTTTCTCGGAACTTACATGCTTCACAGAACCATGACTTCGACTTTGGAGTCAAGCAATTCGAGCACTTGACTGCTAAGTGCAACTTTCCCTGGCTTCTCGCCAATGTCCTGGACCCGGCCCTGGGCGAGAATGTACCTCTCGGACATGCCAAGCACACGCACATGATCACATCGTCCAATGGTATCAAGATCGGTCTCATCGGTCTCGGCGAAAGAGAATGGCTAGAAACGATCAACAGCTTGCCGCCCAACATCATCTACAAGTCGGCCAGCGAGACAGCCAAGAAACTGGTCCCGCAGCTCCGGGCTCAGGGTGCCG